TGCATGCAGAAAGCAAATGAGCATGTCCACACATTCATCTTCCTCTGCTCTTGGCTGTGGAGATGATGTGACTAGCTGTTTAATGTTCCTGCCTTCTTCACAATGATGGACCATAACCTGGAATTGTAAGTGGGAATGAGCCCCCCCTTCCCCACATGGCTTTTTTGTCAGGGGTTTTGTTATAGCAACAGAGATGAAGGTAGGACAGTGGTATGAGGCTGATGATTGTGCTGGTAGTGATAGTGATGATGGCATTGGTGGTGGTGGTGATGGCGGTGGTTATGGTGATGGTGGAATGGTTATGATTAACTATTTCAAAACCAAGATTGTGTAAAATTTATCCAGTATTTATGAGTGGTATAAAATATGCGTGCATGGGTGGATGAATGAATGAATGAATGAAGAGAAAAAATTAATTCAAATTCCATACTCAAATAAACACATTTCTAAGTTTGTTACCAACCAACTCGAGGGTTGGGTGCTACTTCATCAGCCCCCAAAGTTTTACATGAAAGCCACTTTGTGATTGACATGTTCAATCTCACAGAATGCAACCGTTACACCAGCTACTTCATTTGTCATAGTCTGAAAGCTTTACCAATCCTAAGGGCCCAGCTCCACGATCATTGCTAGCTGAAGAATAGTCATTCAAGTTTTCTCATTTATGATGGTGATTCACTCATCCCTAGTTATCAGTTTGTTAGGCTCCACTAGGATGATTTCATGAGAGTTTCTCACTCTTGATCATTCGCATGTGTAGAATTCATCCCATGGCTGTGAACCAAGAATGGATTCCATGGAGAGTTCAGTGTCAACTGAAACAGTACCTCTGCCTTTCCTCTGACAGCCTGACCCTGTCTCTGAAACAGCGATTATACAGCTCTTCCTCCATCCCTGGGTCTCCCAGCCTTGTCACTCACACTTCCATTCACATTTGCTTTACCTTTTATTTTTCTTTGCCTAAGAAGAAGAGATTTATTATCATTCATCAGAAGTCACCAGCCCCCAGTGTTTCTGTGAGAGCATCTAATCTCCTCATGGGAGCAGACTCCAATGCAGGCTGCTAAATGGGTGATTTTACAGAGAGTAGTGCCTAAATGGGTTCAGCAATCCCCAAGTTGCCTACATGCATCTACCTCTGAGCTCATGTGGGTTCTGAAACACCCCATAATCTGTGATGGGGAAAATAGAGAGCAGGACTCACTCATGCATTTGTATGGTGCTTATTTATGGATCATGATAGATAAAGACACACACTAGGATATGTCATACACTGCAACCGATATACTGGTGCCCAACACAATCCTGTCCCTGAACACTCAACTCAGGCAGCATGTAGGGTGGTGATTGATCTCTTCACCAAGCAGGTATCTCCTCCTCCTCCTCCTTCTCTTTCTTTCTTTCTTTCTTTCTTTCTTTCTTTCTTTCTTTCTTTCTTTCTTTTTTGTATTCCTAAACTATGAAAACTGTCCCCTTACCCTCATTTTGAACCCAAATCTCCCAGAGGTTAAGTCACTGATAACAACAGAGCCAACGCTCAGATTTGGGCTTTCTCAGCTCAAGACTGATGATGGCATTCCGGCTTCTTTCCAAATCCTGTGACCTCATGTCGAGCCCCACCAATTCAAGCTCTCCGTTCCAGTTTCCCACATCCATAGTTCGGTTTACAAAAGGTGACTGATCAAATGCACCACTGATATCAAGAGCCTAAATTAAATCATTTTAAGGATTTCACCTTTACACGGGCACATAGGAGAAGCTGGGGAAGACCCTGTGGCCTGTGGTGTGGGTGAGGTGTTTGGAAAAGGGCTCCAGGGGGCTCGGAGATAATCCAGGAATTCCCAAGGACTAGCCTGACTCAGTAAGGCTATTATTGAAAATGAGTCATTTGTGGCATCAGGGCGAGCTGTCTCAGCCCCCTCACTGAACTATCGGGAAGAAACAGCAAGCCCTTCCCCTCTGGGAAAAGAATCCTAATAATAATTTCTAGAGAATTTGCATGTCTCTTTACAGCTCTCAAAGTATTCTCAGTCGGCCCCCACCTCTTCTCCTACCACACACCTTTGAGCCATAGAAAGGGTTCAGCTAGGTGGGGTCTGAGGTTATCTAGTTTGGTGTTTTTATTTTTTCCGTTTTCTTTTTTTCAAGAGGAAAATTCTCGTCAAAATGAACTCATGGTATTCTAACTTATAAAAATGACCATGTGAAATTTCTATTGTAGGATGAGAATCAGGGAGGAACACAACTCACTGTGAATCCTCGGTTCTGGACTCTATGTTCTGTTCTGAGGGATTCCAAAGGAATCCCCATGTTCCACAAAAAACAAACAAACAAACAAACAAACATCATTCCTGGTGACTACCTATTTCACTCCCCCATCTTCAAAGAGAAACAGACAAAAATCACTCCCCATCCATAGTTCACCAAACCCACGCAGATGTTTATCCCAAATGGTGGGGCCTTGAGAACTTGGAGTAAATGATCTCTGGGTCACAAACAGCTGGGTGTTCTGCTCTTTCCAGCTGCTGATGGTTCTAAAGTGGTTGGTATTTAGATGCCAAGAGGAACCTTCTTCATCTCAGAAAGGCAGATCCCCGAGTCACACCCCGTCAGTCACAGACCGGCTAGGCAACTGGTTCAGGAATTTTGCAGCCCCATCACTGTCTCTGTTAGTGTAAGGCTCTCTCTAACTGTACAGCCTACAAGGAAGCTCTGCAGGAGACGAAATGCTGTGAATAACGAAACGCCATCTAACTGTACTGGCATGTGGATAAACAGTATGTTTTATGCTATGTGCATTTTCATATAAAAATCATTTTAAAAATTTATAATAGCTCTTGGTTTCCTACAGAATCCAGTTCAAAGTTCCCTGCCATCTAAGAGATGGCCCCTGCAGGCTTTTCTAGCCGTCTGTCTTGCTCTCTCCCATTCAGTCTCTGCATCTGATCTAACACTCGAGCCGTTTCCGTCTATATATATGGAATACATATATTATACACACATGTGTATGATGTGTACAAATATACATGCATACACGTATCAGTGTTTAAGAGATGCAGGGCTTCCAAAGCCACTCCCTTCTCATCAAGTCTATAAAGTGGATACGGTTTTCAAGCCCATTTTACACTTGGAGAAATAGAGGCACATAAAAGCTCATTGCCTATCTTGAGGCCATAAAATAGTAAGCAACCAGAACCGGACTAAGAAGAGCTGGGTTTTCTAGTCTTGAATCTCAGCTACTCCTCGATAGGAGTAGCTTGAATGGCCTGTGAGTGACATGTTCCTTCAGTTTCTCAAGAATTCCTTCTCTTTCCATACCTGCCCCAATATCACCTCTCTTGAATGTCTCATTGGTGTTCTCAAGAAATACTGTGATTTTTTTCATATCTCAGGCCTGATGGCATCATAAAGACATACCACACACACACCTTGGGTGTTCTGGGAGTGATATCCTGCTGATAAGGAATGACATGTGTGTGTTGTGTATGTATGTGTGTGCATGTGTGTATATGTGTATATATATGTATTGCGTAGTGTATGTGTGTGTACATGTTTATGTATGTGTGTATGTATATGTATATGTGTGTGTTGTGTATGTGTGTTTGTATGTGTATGTATGTGTGTGTCATTTATGCCATGGCATGCATGTGATGGGTAGAGAATTACTTGTGTGAGTCACCATGTGAGTTTCAAGGATCAAAGCAGGGTCACATGCTTGGTGGCAAGCGCTTTACCACTGAACCGTCTTTCCAGTCCTGCCTCTATTTTACAGTATATCTCATGTTGTAGGCAGCAGCTGGCTTGCGACTGTAAGCTAGTGCCTGGGGACAAAGCAGGTTTGGTTTATCCTGATACCCACGGGCACTCGTTATGCGTTGATGAATAAACGGGTGGGCAGGTGGCTGGGTGCATTTCTCTCACTCTTTCCCTTTCTTCCCATAAATCCAAAGACATTGCTTTCCCTCAGAAATTCTGGCGTGGTTCCTTCAGGGTCTTGCCACAGGCATGCTTTCCATTCTGCATGAAGTTCATTTGGATTTGCTTTTAGTGCTTTATATTAAAAATTAACACTGCCTTTGTTGTCCAAACTGTAACCACAGCATATAAGAGAAGATAAGGAATTATGATTTAAAATATGATTTCCCCCTGTTTTCAGCCTTGAAATGTCTCCCTTGAAGAATATGGTAATGCTCTGTGAGAGTTATCAGGTAAGAAATAAAGGGAAGCGTGTTAAAGTTTGCAGCAAAGGGAGAATAATGCAAACAAGAAAGAAGTGATCAGCGTGTAAGGGATATGAGGATGGGCGGATGGAATGGTGGGTGAAAACTGTACGGGTGGATGAACGTAAGAATCGGTGGTGGATGGAGTACGGCTAGGTTGGGGCACATAAACGAAGACGGTGGATTGATGTGTGAGTCCTAAAAGGATTTAAGGAACTGGTAGACGGATCAGTAGATATTTGAGACCATGAACGAAGCGTGTTGGTAAGTGGGTGTAAGGATGGAGGTGCCGTGCTGGGACGGGAGGCTGACAGAGTAGAGTCAGATGGGATTCCCATAGCTGGCATCACTAGGTTTCCCTGAGCAGAGATCCACTGAGATTTTTGGACTTCTCTCAGAGGGAAAGAGGAATGAACACGCCCACAATTTCCCCACTTTTCAATCCCCACCCTGGCCTGGAAGGCACCATTCTCCCAACAGGATCTCCCTCTTGTCTGAGCTCCTCTCTAGGAAATGTCCAGCTTCCGGGGAAACCCGGACAGTCATTCCACAGCCAGGTTCCCAGAAGTTTAGAGGCAAAGGAGAGGCTTGAGTCTGAACTCTGAGGGGTGAGGTCACGGGACTCAGTCATTCTCCTCCTCCCAGGCAATGCTCCCCAAGGCAGGAGGGCTGGCCAGAGAAGGAAACCTGTGGAGTGGTCTGGGGGATGGGTCATGGGCAAACGGGGGCGGTAGCAACTCTCAGCTGCCAGAGAGAGCAGGGCAGGAGTTCAGAGGCAGCAGCGAAAGCAGGCTGGTGTGTCTTTAAACCTCCGTTGGCTGCTTAGTCACAGCCCCCTTGCTTTGGGTGTGTCTTTGAGCGCTCCCTCCCTCTTAGGTCACTCTTTCAAAGCCTGGAATAAAAACCGCAGCCAACTTCCGAGGCGGCCTCATTGCCCAGCGGCCCCCAGCCTGTGACAGGTTCCATCCATTTTCCTTGCCCCCCGCTCCCCGCGACCCTCTTTAAGAGACAACTAGATCCCTCGGTTCCATCCCGCACACCATGGACAAGTGTTGGTGGCACGCAGCTTGGGGACTCTGCCTCTTGCAGCTGAGCCTGGCGCAGCAGCAAATCGGTGAGTGGCTCCTAGCCTGGGCAACCAGGATGCGAACGCAGAGTGTCCCGGGACTCTAGCAGGATGTCCCTGGGTTGGATAGCCCGGGTAGGGAATACAGTAAAGTGAGCTCAGCAAAGCAAAGCTCGGTTTGCGGTTACGCTGTTGGACAGTTTGTTATTGGGAAGCGCCGCTTTGGTGAAAGGAAAAAAGAGAAAGGGAGAAGAAAGTTGGCTGGGCAGGTTGCCCGCCGCAGAATTTGGGCGAGGTCGCTGGCGCTTGTCGGAGCACATGGCGCAAAAGTAACTGTACTTTTGGATGCACGCAGCCGGTGTCCGGACTAACAGGCTCCGGTGCCCAGGGGCTCCCCCAAGCAGGGCTGGGCTTGCCGTGGGTGTCAGCGCAGAGGCAAGGACTGGGGCAGAGCTGGAGGGGAAACCTGTAGGGTAGTCCTCAAGGTGGCAGGGAGTGGCAAGCCAGAGGGTTGGCAATGATCTTTTCAGAAAGGAACCCCGGGAAGCTAAAGAGAGTAAGTTCCGGGCTTAGACAGGTTTGGGGGGGGGGGGCTCTTTCAGTCTGCTGTGGTCACCAACTGCTTTAACTTGTGGGAGCTTGAACCGGTTCTGTGTTGACGCTCTGAGTGCCTGGGCCAAGGTGGGCACATAAGAGAAGCAATGATTATTAGACCAGCTGTCCAGTACATGCAGCCCCTGGTTCTGCCAGTGCGGGCAAAGTCAAAGGGCAACACAGTTCCTATTCGCTGCCTGGCAGCTTCAGAGCAAGAGGGGACCTGTATCAGGGTAACACACAAGCGTTAGTGCAGAGACCATGATAAGCCATCTAAATGAGGTTGGTGGCTTTGGTGGCTGTGGAGGGGAGGAGTTAGGGTCAGGTATTCAATATGGCTCAATTCCAAACATTCCCTTCCTTTGTCTATATGTGAACAGATAATTCTACAAACGCTTTGTTTAACACCGGCACAGTTAATTTTTCTTTTAAGAAATGCCGGCTGGGTCATGAAGGCAGTTCAGCCTACAGTGAGCTCCTCTCAGCAAGAACTTATTAAAACTACTCGAGTGTGGGGGTGCTCAACCTGGGTATTTTGACATGCTAGGTGGAGACCATAAATTTTGAATTTTGATGCAGAAGCAATACAAGTAGTATTAAGAATAGCCGCGGGACTCTATTGGTTCCCTTTACTACTGTGCCAAGCTCTATGTTAGATAGTTCACATTTCAAATATGCTATCACATTTTATCCTCGTGGTGATTTGGTAAGAAGTGTTAATCTCTCTCTCTCTCTCTCTCTCTCTCTCTAAGAGTAGGGAACAGAGGCTCAGAGAGGTATTCACACAGCAAGGGGTGGGGTGGTGCCGGGTGTGAACCTCCAGAGTTAGACTCCCAGGGCATATCTGAATGCATGTGCTGGACAAAAACAAAAAGGCATCAGGCAAAGAGTCGTCTGACCAGCAGAGGTTACAGCAGAGGCTTCCAGAGGGAACCAGAGCTCCAATGGAGCCTCTAGAAGGCAGAAACATTCAGGACGGGTTGGGGAAGGGCAGAGAGCCCTGGACCTGGCCTCTCGGAAAAGGAGAAAGGTTGGACACCCACACCTTTTTGCTGTGGCTGTATTTTCTTAGCCTATCTCCTGGCTGCTCTCAAAAGCCTACTCCCAGGTCCTTGTTCCCTCTGACCCCTGGGGAGTCAGGTCCTAGAGATCAGCAGGCTCCCTCCTGCCTTGGGGTTTTCGCCTACCTGTTGTATACATTTTGTGGCATCAGGAGAAGCAGGGCCACCGAGGGCCATAGTAGTGACTGCCTAGGACTGGCTTTCATGCCTTTGTGAAATTGTTGGAAAGGAACCGAGACTCGAAAATGAGATCTGACTTAGAGGATGTGGGTCTGGGTAGGCAGAGGGAAGGAAAAAGGGCAGGGCGAGAAAAGAGGCATCATCGCTGCCCCCCCCCCCCAAATTCTAGGAGTGACTGGTTTTGGAAGATGGGGAAGCTTCGAGACTGGGCAAAGTTTTGTGGGGCAGGGGTACAGTGAGAGGAGAAACTGCCCAGAGTTGTGTCAGAAGTCAAAAAGTAGAAGAGTGTCCCCAGATAAACCAAGCAGCCCCAGGCACCCTGTGCTGTGGGGGCTCTGGTTAGAAGGCAGAGGGAAGGTGTCTCCATAGGCACATGTGTCCTTTCCTCCACACCCAGAGAACATTGCTAGAAATTTCCCTTCCATTGTTGGGAAAGAGGGGTGCATTTGAGCATCTTGGGGCTGACCCAGAGCCTTCTGGATCCCGCTTTCCGTTGGCAGTTAGAGCCCTGGCAGAGTCTTCCCATGTGAAGAAGTACGGAAGTGAGCTCCATCCCCGCTGAAGTTAGACTTGGTTCATTCATTCAGTTATTCCCCTTCCCTCACAGGACACCCACTTCCTTCCAACGCAGGGATGAGCTGTCGGAGACTCAGGCAGCTGAGGGGAAAAGTTTCTATTTCTGCCAACTTCCCCCTACACAGGAGGGGACGCTGGACCACATGAAATTCTTGGTCTATGACAGATCTCCTTAAATTCATTCCAGAAAAATTTCCTGATTCACTGACCAAGACTCAGAGATGGGAACTTCAAAGATCATTTAGGGGGAAAAAAGCCCTTCTTTTTCCCAAGAGGAAGCAGACTATGGGAGATAGGGATTGGTGATTTCCCCACCCACTCTGTTAGGGCGTGAGGACAACCCTGAAACTCTCCAGTCTCTGGAGGACTGTGGGGGTCCCACCATCTCCCCTGAAGAGCTGAGGGGAAGGGCGTGGCCAAAGGGGGTGTGGCATGATAATGTTCTAGCACCTTCAGTACAGCCTCCCTTCACACACAGTTTTGTATTTTATGGCCCAATACACCCAGTTTGAGTTTAAGAATAATGAACACTAATTTCCCTAAGGGAAATTGAGGCTCAAGAGGGATCCATCTTGTTTTAGGGCTTGTAATGCTTCCAGCACATCACTGAAAAGTTAGGAGTACCCCATTTTAAAATCCTGGCAAGTTACTATTGCCACTCAACATCTGGAGTTCTTAAGAAGTCCCACCCTCTGCTCAGATTCAGGTGGAGTTTAGTGTTAGGTTTTCTTACCTAGCCTTGCAATAGTCATACACATTAGTACTTTCCTAACACCGTTGTCTTGATAAAGAAATAGAGACTCAGAACTAACGGGACTCACCCAAGAACATAGGGGTAGAGTTGGAGTACCCCATCATCTAACATCACCCCCTCACCACCTTTGGAGGATTCCGGAAAAAAGTGTGTTATCTCTCACTGTTCCAGTCCCCTGTAGTCAGCAAAGTGATCGTGAATGGCTTCTCTTGCCACCCTCTAGCAGACGGTAGGCTCTTGACTGCTCTGCCTCGCCCTCCTCTGTCCCTGTCTCTGGGCTCAGCCACAGCTGTCAGGCACACCAACCTTGTTATTTATTGCAGGAATAAGTCAGTTCCTTTATCGGAGTCCGGTTGCCCCTTTAGACATGCTCTCATTTGTAGGTTTGGCAAAAAGGGAGAGGTTGCTCCTTGCCCAAGAGACAAGTCAGGGCAACACCCTTTGCCTGCAAATTAAGAAAAGCCCACAGACACTCGTTCTCATGTTTCCCCCGCAGGCATTTCGGAAGCAATGACCCATAGAGAGCCGCTTTTATGGACTCTTTGGACAGTTATACAGACCCCATTTGAGGGGAAGTCTTGAAATCCCAGGCAGTGGGTGGACATGGCTTTCTAGAGAAGTCACAGATCTTGAATCAAAATCCACTGAGAACCTCCAGGGGACATGTGGCCACTCAAGTCGGTAGACTCTGCCCCACTAATAAACAGGCAGCGGGGGGAGGAGAAGTGGTTTCCCCACCAGTCTGTCCTGGGGTTGGGGACAAGGTATGAGGTTTCATCAGTACCTCCATTTTAGCAACCCCACCCAGAGCGTGAGAGGGAAATGATCTTGTGAAAGAGCGAGCTGGAGCAGGTGGCAGCTACTTCCTGGCCCCGTGGAGTTTTCAAAGGGGATCTTCTCTACTTCAGAGAGAAATTCTTGGGGTTTGCACAACAAGAAGCTGATGACTCAATTTTTTTTCATACCTTTGCTTAAATGAGGACACACAAGCATTTTTTTTTTTAAAAAAAAAAGAAGGTCCTTAAAATTGAGCCCACTTTTCACTTTCTTAGCGGGTAGAAATTTCTCTCCAACAAGTACTCCTGGGGCTAGTGCGAAACTCAGTGACAGAGTATTTGTCTAGCGGGCATGAAGTCCCGCACTTGATCTTCAGAACTAAAAACAAAAACAAAAACAAACCAACCAAACAAACAAAACCCATACTAGCTCCAAACTAGTCAGCAAGGGTTGGGGGAGCCAGGGCAGCTAGGCAGGAACGGGAAGACCGCCTCTGCCATTGCCTTCTGCAGCTCCACACACTGCCCTGGTATCAGGGATTATATCTCAACCATTTTTGAGTCCCAAGACCTCCGTGCTGGCCCACAAAGAGGACCAGAAATGTTGAACCGAAATAAGGTCTCAAATAGTGAAGAGTTCTGGTGTATAGAGGCTGCCTGACACCCTGGGAGTGCAAGTGTGTTTACGTGTACATGCCAGTGTGCTGACGGCTTTGCTGTTGACCTGCACAGGGTGAGAAGAAGGCTTGGCTGGCCAACTGCTTACAGTAGGACTCCTGTGTCCTCTTCCCAAGCAGAGAGTCTGCCCGTCTGTGGTTTTGGTGGCTGCTGGCTCTGGGGCCAGTAGTGTAAGGAGCAGGTTAGGGAATGGCTGCTGGGTGAGAAGCGAGCTGGGTGCTGACACCAAACCCACACTTAAACCTCAAAATGAAACACTGCCCAGTAATGGCTGGCTTTGTGAGCTGCTGGTCTGAGACTTGAGTCCTTGGGAAAGAGGCCCACACAACCTCTGACCCACACTTGCTTCTGGCAGGTGGCAGCAAGAGGGAGAGGGGCAGAAACACCTCCCAGAAGATTCTGGTATCTTCTACGACCTGCTATCCAAAC